CCTTTGACAGATTCACTTAAAGGAAAACCAAATGAATACAGACTGTCTTCTGACGCCGTCGAAACTATCAAACAGCTAAAAGATAAACTGGCTCAAGCATCTACGTTGATGTATCCGAATACTCTTTCCCCACTTGCTTTAACGGTGGATGCTTCAGATAAAGCAGTAGGTGGTACCCTTAATCAACTGGTTGAAAACGCCTGGAAACCAATTGCTTTGTTCTTGAAAAGACTCGCTCCAGCAGAGACAAGGTATTCTACATTCGGGCAAAAGTTTCTGGTAATCTACCTGACCATCAAGCACTCCCGACACATGTTAGAAGGCAGGGAATTTATAGTCTTTACAGATCAAAAACCACTAACGAATGTATTAAAGGCGATAGCCGATAAATACTCACCTCGAGAAGTCCGACACCTTGAATATATATCACAGTTCAAAAGTTATATCCGATATGTCAAAGGTCGGGACCATCAGGCTTCAGACGCTTTACCTAGACTAGAAATGAGCGTGCTACAGCATTCCACAGTAGACTTTGAGACGCTGAAGCACGAACAGGAACAGGATCCAGAATTACAAAACCTACTTAAAACAAATAATTCAAGTCTCAAATTAAAACAGTGACCGTCGCCTATCGACGGTATTCTAATTTACTGTGCCACGACCAAGGTATTGCCGCGACCTTTCGTTCCCAAAAGTATGAGAAAGTTGATATATAATAACTTTTATGCTTTGTCTCATCCTGGCGCAAAAGCTTCAAATAAACTAAGCAATGCCAAATATATATGGCCGAATTCACGGAAGGTTGTACGCAAATGGGTCAGAAAGTGTTCGGCATGCCAATAATCAAAGGTTATTCGTCACACAAATTCACCCATAGGTGTTTTATCACAACCAAATGCACGTTTTTCCCATGTGCATATCGACTTGTTAGGCTCTTTACCACGTTCGAATGGGTTTAATTATCTGTCCACATGCATAGATCGATTTACCAGATTCCTTATAGCCATCCTGATAGCGGACATCACAGCGGAAACGGTGGCCAAGGTTTTCACGAAGAACTGGGTAACCATTTTTGGTACGCTCATAACAATAAAGACGAATAGAGGAGCGCAATTTGAATCCGAACTATTCAATAACTTGGCTAAACTTCTAGGCTCCAATAGGATACGCTATACTGCATATCATCCTCAGGCTAATGGGATGGTAGAACGTTTTCACCGTCAGCTAAAGACCGCTTTTATATCCCACTCAAACCCCAATCAGTGGACAGAATTCCTACCGTTAGTTATGTTGGGAATACGAACATCTGTCAAAGCTGACGCACAGTGTTCGGCAGCGGAAATGGTTTTCGGAACAACTCTGAGACTACCAGGTGAATTGATTAATCCTAATACTAACAGTCAAAAACTTAATTTAGAAAATTACGTTGATCAACTACGGGACTATAGGTCCAAATTTAAGCCAATTAATACTCGTGAACGATCGCGAGTCATATATGTATCTAGGGATCTAAGCAAATGCACGCACGTCTGGATAGGATGTGACAAAATAAAAGCACGGCTTTGCCCTCCATTTGAAGTTCCTTTCAAAGTCGTCTGAAGTAAAGCTAAATATTTCATGATAGAAAGACATGGAAACACGGACTCCGCAAGTATTGATAAGTTAAAACCGGCTTATCTCGATCATGAACCACCATACGTGTTGTTATATCACTTACCTGACAAAACAATTACGGAATCGACATGTAAAACGGTAAATCTTTACAAGTGACTAAAAGGGTTATATGGGCACATCCAATTAGTCAGTCAAGAATATTGACAGTTTTGGCTGCAGAATAAAATCTAACCACGTATCTAGTAAGATCCTGCGTTTATTTCCATGTAAAGATTTTTTCTCATACTGTCCCACCTATTTTATTTAACTAACAAAAGCATTAAAAAAAAGTAGTTTTCGATATTGTACTATCCACAACTCCCCAGATCTTTTACTTTTGATATATGAGTGTGTGTTAAATTTTTTAAAATACTGGATACATAAACTAGGTAGTCCTAAACAATTGCTGAGTGATAGTAGTCGAAATCATAAAAAGGGATCAGTCACATTAGAGAACGACGAACCTTCAACTAAGTTGAGTGATGTAAACAAGCTGCGCCTGCTGAACTAAACGATTTCTCAAATTTTACCAATAGTAGTAGACAATTAAAAAAGCTGGAGGGAAACGTTGAACAAATTCCCTGTGAGCATGTACTATGAACCCACACAACTAGCCCTGGCAGTAACGGCGAATTCAAAAAGCAACCCAGACGACCAACCCTTTCTGGAGGCCAAACACTCACATGGAACCGATCAACTATCAATCATATTTGTGTATTTCCATTTTGTACCTTATTATTTTGTGCAGACAGTAGGGAAGTTCTTCAGGATTTATTGATTTTCATCATTACATTTGAAGTAGACTCTTCTTTACTTTTTACTTGAGGGCGACTCAAAAGGCAGGTGAGTAAACACCTGATAGCCGGACAGAGCATGGAAAAAACGTACCTCATCAACATGGTGTTGGGTAGCCCGCTCGCGGCATTCCTCAGAAATTCTTGTTCTATTTTCTCACACTCTTTTGCGAGCACGTAGTAAACTGTCAGCGATAGTTGTAGTAGAATTTGCATGCTACAAAATAAGATAACAAGCTGGCAAATGAAGAGACATCCATGGACTATCGTCGATTACCGACGGAGTTAGTCGTCATTGATTTGAAGTCACAGTAAGCGAGTTGATAAGCCTCCCTTGGGCTGTGGAAACAGAACTAAAATGCTTTTGATAGATAGGTTATCGAACCGACGTTCCTACGGAAGTCGATTCTAGGAGGAAGCTAATGTAACAGCCTAGGTCGATTGCTTAAGAGTTGACCACAAACAACTAAGCATATATCAAAACAGTATAGTTCAAGTACTCATTCACTTTCTTATTTTGTATAGGCGTTATTTTTCTAATTATCTTAAATTGAATGAATCAGAGTTGACCGGATGGAATGGTTCGACATTGCAGGCGTGATCCCTGCTGAGTGTTACCTTATATCTTTTATTCATATTAAATATATTGTTCTATCTCTAGCCTAAGCTTGTTCTCTATCATGCATTGGTAATTGTCACAATGCAATGAGTTGGTGTAGACGATGATGTGACTTCCAAGTAAGATCTCATAAATCAAGCAGTTATATCATGATAAATCTACAATTTTAGGATTAGGTCTATTATTAGAACAGTACTAATATCATGATAGACCATAATACTATAAATGTTCCATTCAGGCTGTTTGAGAATAGTGAGTAGTTGTAGAGTAGTGGAAGGCCAGCTGAACTGCTCCCTAAAGTGTCCCGCCCATCGTTCCAAACGTCTAAACTGAGAGCAAATAAGTGTCGTCTTTTTCTCAGATAGTCTCACTTACATTTGACTTATTAATTCCAGTTCCTTTTATTAGTCTGTAGAGCTGTCTTGTGTTCCCTATAATCGCCGCCTTTTCAATCTCTTTTTCTATCGTTGCCCACCACTGTTTACGGTCGTTCCTTAGACTTTGCATAACTTAGATCTGATTTGTTTTCTCTCTTCATTGTGTTCGGAGCCTGATGGAATGTGTTTACGAGAGTCTATCAGGGCAATGTATGTCGCGGAAATCCACTGGTTTTTCGTAACTCTTCAGTTCAAACCACTAGTAGATGTCGTTGCTGTTTCCACAGCTTTTTTATGTCTTTCCAGATAGCATCTGGGTCAGCCTCGTTTTCGAGATTACCTAAGTGTGACTTCAGTTGTTCCTGGGATTTATCTTTGTCTTTCTCATCGTTAAGTTAAACTCTAATGGGTTTTCCTAATGTGGCTTTTCTGCGTCCAGTGAGGCACAAGCTAATGCGTGCTCGTAGTAGAACATGATCAAAGTCTAAACATGCACTCCAGAACTATCGGCTGTCTTCTATCGAGCCTCTCTAGTGATGACCGATGGCAATGTGATCTATTTGAATCCATCGTTGACCTGATGCTGCGGTTTCTGTGTTAGACGATGTCTCTCATTATGCTTAGAATTAGTGTTTGTTAGAAATAAACGACTGTCTGAGCACAGTTGCAGCAGACGGTCACCATTATTTGTTCGCTGGGTGCGAGTACTAAAGTACCCACCTAAATGTCTTTCTGGTTGGTTTAAATATTAAAGACACCTGCTACAAGTACTATGCCTGAGTGTTTAGCTTTATGAAGAAGTTCAGAAAATTTTCTCTAAAAGTCGTCTTTCAATTCATCCGGGCTGCGGTCAGTGGGAGCGTAGGTAGAAATGACGAAAAGGTAACGACGTGTGTCCCTATTCTTCCGAATTCCTACGGAACCCTTTAATCGAACAACAGGGGTTCATTCTAAAAGTGTTTGTTCTGCCCTCGTACTTGGTGCTGTGCCTACACCTGCCAGTCCACGAGGATTTGCCGTTGGGTCGCCGTTTTGGCGAGGTGACGTCAAGTGAATGAGCACACTGGGATCCTGTATGCATGTTTCAGAGACACAGCATACACAATGGTACAAGATCCTAGGGTTTTAGCCAAGGAGGTCCCATTTCCCGGTTGCTTACACTGTGGAAGGGTTCTTCTAGAGGTGACTGAAAAAGAAATTGGGTTAGAGATGGACTTAGTGACCTGAGAGCGTGACCGCAGTGTCCATGGGACAACTTCTTGCGGCCGTCACACACCATTTGTGTTAACTCCATGTTTATTGAGACCTTACTGCCGGAGACGTAAACCCGTGGGGTAAGGTGAGGCGTGCATTTTAAGGATAACCTTTTCTAACCCTACCCTTCCTTGTGGGATGGTAGCTTTGCTGTTATGCTGGTTGTCTGAAGGAAACATCTTACTGCTGTCACTCCTCTCTACAGTTAGCAGCGCGACTTCATCTCGGACCTTGGGTTTGCTGCTTTTGGTCTTGTCGTTCTGCTATCGAACTGTCTGGCATCGTATAACCTTGAGGAATGATTGTTACAATTTGTTCATTACGATAGTCAAACTAGACCACCACGTTAAGGTAGTAGCAACATTCGGGTCAGCTAATGTCAAATGTTCCGGTCAATGGGGGAAGTAAGGACCATGTTTATTGATAGCAAAACACATAATTGAAACAAGGCACAAAATTGACACCAATACATGTCGATTAAAATTTGCCAATTTTTAAACGCTGTATTTTACTTTCTCTTTTATTACTTTTTCTACTTGAACCTTCGTTTAATTGACTTTTCCATATTAAATGTCCTGACAGGTATATGTGTGACCAGATATTTCAATGTATGGTGTACACCATACATTGAGAAATATCTGGTAATCACGTTCGGTATGTTAACCTACATTCTTGAAATATTTGTACAGTCTTTTCAACTTGTTAGGAAGGATCTGGGAATGTAGCATAATGAACAAGGTCCGTTGGATAGAAAAAATCAACTGACTACAGATCATAGACACTACCTTTGGCCCGCTCTTATCCCTGCCTTCCAAAAGATTATTCACTAACCAGGATAAACTTATCCAAACTCGTCCTCAAATCTCAGGATCCTTGCAAGAAACTCTAAGTTTTATTGAGTGAAATTGGTTTTCATGTTTTCTAGACTTTGTACTTATTTTTTCAAACAAAATGTTAAAAGCTCGTCATATTCCAATCCTATTTCTTATGTTTTGCGAACAATGGTTGTATGTTGTAGCGTGGTATTTTTTTGTTGATGACTACTGTCCGATCGCGGATATTGTTAACTTATTAGTGATAATAGCCCCCAAATGCCCTGGTACGGCCGAGAGTGGGGAGAGTCCGCTCTCCCTCTCGAAATGCTCTCACATGGCCACGCGTATATAGCCTCTACCAGGGAAGTCCTACTCACTGCCTTCTCGTGGCGGGGGTGTTGTCTACGAAAATGAGAGGACGAAAAGCGAATGTCCGGCGCTATAACCGGATCCAAACCAATGGTGCACATGAGCTCCAGTATCCTGAAGGGACAAATGGCGTATGAACTAATCGTTGGTCACCGGCTATCATGGGACTGCATCTCCTCACGATGCTCCACTGCCTTGTGGGTTAGACGTTCAGGTCGAAGGCTCGGGGTGTGGCCCCATGGGAAAACAACCTGCTTCGGTTTGGGCACTTGGGTAGTATTACAGCCCTCACACATATTAAATGAGATATGTGTGGCGCATATGTATTTAGTGCCTACTTGTACCAATATCTAAGTGTTCAAATAAATAATAGCCCTGGAAACGATTGGTTTTTTCCGATTTCCAACGCTCTAGAATTATATCTCTTCCATGGGCGATACATGATTGTCCCCACACCTCAGCAAAGCTATGAGTTTATGGTTAGGACGGTAGTGGCTGCAATTGTAAGTTCTTAATTACTTTCAAATTTCTATGACTTTGCAAATGTTCAGTTAAGATGTGTGTTTTCTAACTTCCAGTAACGATTTATATGATTGTGCACCAGTTCCGCAGACCGTAATGGAAAAAGTAAAGTCTATATTGTCCAAGACATTGGGTGAAAAAGCTGCGATGGATTTTATAAAGTAGATCTAATTACTTTTTTAGTTATCATTGCTAAATTGTTACAGAGCTTGCATGGAAGTTGATGATACTCAAATGATAAAAAGACGTGTCTCTACTCTACTAGATACTCGTAAAATGGAAAATCGTCAGGTTTATGAGATTCTGATACGAGAGAGGATACGAAGAAGTGGATTTACTGGAGAGGTCAGTTTGTAGCATCGATAATTTTCTAGCTTATAAATCACTCAGTAAATACAGTAGGTTATTAATTTTCAATAGAGTTTCCTTGCATTGGTATCTTAAGCATTTGATTGGAGTGAATGCATTTGTGTGTCTCGGTTAAGAGGCTATTAATTACATATTTCACTTATGATTGCATCTAACCCACTGGACCAGCGAACGCAGCTAACCGACTCACAACTACAAGAAACAAGACTGAAAATAAAGATAAGACGAAATTTTATCGGTTGTTTTTCTGGAATGTAAATGGTACTGGGCTACAAACAAACAAAAATAGTTTGTACAGGTAAACAGTAAAATGCGAAATGTTGGTGAAAGTCTACTATTTATTTGTACACATAATGGCACGAGGAATTAGTTTTAACTTACTACTGTCTTTCCTCGTAGCAAGTTGATGTATACGTTTCCAGTAGGAGCAAACAGTCTCAAAGCGCCACCTAAATTATTTGTAAAGAATCTAGTATTTGGAAAGAAGCTTTCATGAGATTCATTATATGATTTGATAATAATGATGGTGCATTATCTAACCAATGAGAACGCGGCATTAATACATTTTGTGCGAATACACGTCATTAAAAAAATAATCATACTTTTAGAATTTTGTTATCGGAATTTCGCGACAGATTGTCATGGTTATCTTATGAATATGATGAGCAAGGGCGTAAAAACTGTTTGAACTCGACCAAAATAAAGGGAAGTTTATTCGATGTTACTACGTATATGCAGCAAGATGTTTGTTAGTAACAAATTAATATTTAATCTACCTTCGGTACAACGCTTAAGATATGTGGGAACATTTGATATGCAAGAAATGAAATTGTGTGCCAGTGATGGGTTGTTAGTAAAAGTAGTTGGTAAAATATCCGGAACTAAATGACCGAACGATAAGTGTTTTAGGAAGCCATCTAATTTATCTCTGGGTGCCTTTCAGTTGCCGTCCGTCGAGTCTCAGTCTCTATACGGTGTTGTCATTAGCTCCTGAGTTCTAAGTGAATAAAACTAGCAAACATACCAGAGAGATGCTCAGCAATTTTCAACAAGTGATCTCTAGCAGTATTCAGAATGTTTGTAAGCGATCCCTAATTGAACTGATAGCGTTCAGTACCATTAAATAAGATAGGGAAATCTCGAGTTACGAAAAAGATGTGATTAACATTATCTAAGTCCAAGAATACCAAACATATTATAGTCACTTTGGCTTTAACTTGGACATGGGAGCATCGATCTGATCATATGTTTATTGTAAGTAGAGTTTGCTACCAGGTCTACTCTATTTCGGTTTATGCTTTGATCGTATACAGATGGAAAGAAATAAACTGCATTTTATATAATTTACACAAATGTTATAGCATCATACGTTCTTGATCGAATTGTTTCATTAGCTTGGTTGCTAACTAGTTAATGTTTCAGTGGAAAATTAGTCAAAAATCATTTTCTTGGTGTGATATGGAAATCTTTGGTCATATAATTGTTATTTCGGAAAACAACCCATTCTGCATATTGTGAGATGGTTGTCTGTATTTAGCACCATATGTAAACTTTAAAGTGATTTAAACATCGTTTTTCATAAAATGAACTCCAGTTATTATCGTATGCTAAATAATTTAACTTCGCTTCAAATGTACTTTTTCTCTCCTAGGGTTATCGTAAATCTAATTGTAGTTCAGGTGTTTTAAATAATATATCAACATCTTCCGACAGGATTTCAAATTCAGAAAAGGTTAGTTTAATTTTTAAACAACATAATTAATATTACATTAAATGCCATGTGACATATTGGAACTATTTTTATCATTCACACAATCAGTAACAATTTCCTTGTTTTGACTAAATGATTGTTTAGTAGCTAACCATGTCATTTAACCATCATGTCTAAGCTTCGAACTATGTATTACCTATTTTAGTTTTGATACCTGTCGGACCAAAAGTGTTACCTAAAGCCGAGTACATAAAAGTTTAAGGAAATATAAGTTTTGAGGTAACAAAGAACCTAGTCCACTTTTATTTCCGTACCCGTAACGTAATCAGGCTGTGATATGAAAATCATAAACATCAGTCTATATCATATATATATATATATAGTTTAGAAATATATTTTTTAGCGACCACACACTGTTCATCAGCTAAACTTTTCAAGATTCCTAAAATAAATGGCCCTCATTGTACTCCTTAGCGAAACCCCTTGTAATTCGAATTATTCTACACGAAAATTCTCATTATCTTCCCCAGATTAGGGTAATTTTGTAGTTCCTGATATCTGCTTTACGCGCTGCTAGATCATTGCCACCGTTTTGTCCACTGAATGGGATAATTTACTTATTAAAATGTCTCATACATCAGACATAAGCAGAATGAAAACCACTTCATTTGTGTTAAGATAACAATTATATCTTTCACTGACTGGTTATAAAGTGTGCTGTAATCTAAATGTCCTATTACAAAGAACCAGTCTCTCATTCACATAATGTTTTATTTTTGACCTACTACTTTTCACTAAGTAACAGCCTGTTTCTAATTTTTTGGTGACTTTTAATGGTAAGGAAGCGCATTTTCATAATAATAATACATAGAGCGCCGTATTTCGGATTCGCCTTTTGCATAGAAATACGCAAAAAGTTTGGGTGAAGGTTTGATGGATAGTAATACTAATCAGTATATTCTGTTTGTCACTAAGGAAATGAGGTGGTTATAGGCGGTTGTCAGGAAAGCATAAATTTTTGTTTTGTGCTAGTTAGCAGTCAACAGCAAAATTTACACTTAGGATATCAATGGACTAATAATTGAGATGGAATATCATCAACAAAAAAGTAACCAATGACAAATTTAAGGTCAATAAGAACCAATCAACATCGAGGTGTACAGAACAAGCTGTGAAACGCATATGGAGAAATTCGAACACTTTACTTCTATCTGAAGTTTGTGCTGATGATGTCGTTTAGAAGAACGATGAAAGCTCCACGACCAAACCATCCAGTTCAGAGGACAAAACTCCGTCAATATCCCCTTACTACAGACGATTGTTTCATGGACTCGGTTTAGAAGGTCTACTCCATATACACTTCAGATCATGTCCCAGTAGTTTGTTAGCCTGATGTCATATCCTCGTCTGATCATCACTGACGTTTTCCTAATTTCTATACCTGGTTGGGGTCCGCGTGACTATCGTAACCAATGGTTGGAGACTCTTGGTGACATGGCTCAGAATCGATCACAATGGCGTCGGTGTATACACTCTCTGTCTTCCTTTAAATTAAGAGATTAAAGTCACTTCAAATCTTTCTTTCCACGAACTAATTCTTTCTTCTTGTATTATCTCCTTATACACAATCTTTCTTCCATATATTACCACCACTGAATTAACTACATCTATGAATCCGGTGTTCATCTTGTTGTGCTAATACGGTATGGCAATTTGGACCGATGCATATACGTGCCTGGTCCTACGTTGCAGCTGACTGACTGACTGACATGGCATCTATTTACTTTGTTTTACACCTTAACTTGAGTCAATCGGTGGTTTCCCCGTTGGTTAATAAGTCTTCCGAAATAATTATTGAAAATCTCACAACTGTATAGTAAGGCACAGCTAACTGCTGTGAAGTACACCCGCTTTCTTATATGAAGTCTAGTATGTATAATATCGTACAGATTCTGTTGGTTGGAAAAAAGTTTATTTTTGTATCCTTACCGAAATTCTATTCTTCATCAGTTCAGCAATAATGTTGAGAATTTATGTCCGGGAAACCAATTCGCCTTAATAATAATTGTTCTTATATGTAAATTTACATCCCCTCATAAATTCATTTTCTTTTTGGATGGTGTAGATTGATGTAGAGCAGTCATCATCACAAACTACTAAAAATAAAAAAAAACCCAAGTTCTTTCCATTATTTTGTGAAGGAGCTCAAAGTGATCAACTTGTTTCGCTCTTACCTGGTCGGCATCCTTGTCAGTGTTTGGCAACTAAGCATCAGTTAGTCAATAATTGTTTAAACTGTGGTCGTATAGTCTGTGCACAAGAAGGTTCAGGTCCATGTTACTATTGTGGAAGTCTTGTTTGTACAATAGACGAGGAATACCAATTATCACTAGGGACTGCTAAACATGGTCAGAAACTACACAATAAACTATCGCAAGCACCGTGGGCACCTGGCACTGAAACTCCATATTATCGACTTATTCGTCGAGCTCAGAAATCAAAACAAGAATCAAGTAGTGAAGTAATTTCTACCGAACTTAATTCAAATAATGAACTAGAAAGTGATAGTGATGACAATGACCTAATAAAAAAGTCAGCCCAGGGAGCTCAAATTCGTTTGGAACAAGGCAAGTTAGTTGATCATGTGATATGATTTATTGCAAACACAGAATATTCTTAATGGATGTATATTTTTTCCCAAACTACAAATTAAAAGATTAAAAATAGCCTAAACCCGATTGAAGTATAATCAAAAAGTAAGTTACACTATCCATTTCTGTTACTGAGACAACTTAAGATTGATTATTGACATTTTATTCTCATAATCCTTACACCGTCTGCGAACCTTAGTAGTCATACCCTCTCTCTCTCTCTCTCTCTATATATATATATATATATATATATATATATATATATATATATATATATATATATATATATAACTTTTTATTGATTGAAAATTGAGTTAATGACATGGGGAGAGTAATAATATACTTAAGATTGTTGAAGCATACAAGCCATTTCGATTTTTAAAATTACTGTAGGACAAATAGTTGATGGAACTACTGTAGAGATCAATTAAAAAGATGAGCTGAGCAATGCGTGAACACTTAATTTACGATACATATTGCTTCATTGAAGTTATTATGACATTATATGTGTTCCTTAGAATACCTTAAGCTCATTTTCAAATTAACGTGAACGCAGAATCCAGTTCATAAGAAGGGTTGTTACTGTATGAGTATCATCCTAATATCGTAAAAAATGTAGTTTTAAATTCAGTCAAATTTGTAGATGTTATTAATTCCACATAATTACGATTCTATGATTGAAGGATGTATGATGCTCTCTTGAACATGATTTGATCATAAACAGTCGTTGCTTCTATACTTGAAAATGAAATTTATTCTATTAACCTTTCTTAGTACACCTCTTTTTCTCCACTTTAGTGGAAGAGATTTACATTTCTTTCCTACCCTTATAATCTCATTTCAGGTTTAATCAATGCTTTATGTAAACGTGATAAACTTTTGGAGTTTGATACTACTTGTGCTAGACGAACTAGAGTTATTGATGATGAATTAGATTATTTCGCAACAGAGGGTGGCGTTGGATCAGCTGCATGGTTAAGTCCTGAAGTTCGTGAGAAGATAGCTCAACGCGTAATTGAATTACGAACCCAAAGGCATGCACATCGTCTCCAGTCTGCACGTATGTGTATTGACCTAGACAAATGCGATGTTATAAAAGAGGTTAGTGTGTACATATAACACATGAAATTATCCCAGCAAAATATTTTATATAGAAATAATTATATGTTCCTTCTTTAAAGAAACTTTAATTCCTCTTGATGAAGTTCATCAGCATTTCTTATTGATTTTATGTTGATTGAGTTATTCTTATTGAGTTTTGATTGATAGGCTCATCTCTGCTTAATAGGCTTAGTATTGAATTTCACATGTGAAAAGTTCCTCAACATAGAACGGGACACTGTTACATTATGAACATTGGCTTCTTAACTTGTTCTGATGAACTCATTGTTTTCAACCTTAACATAATTAATCTTTGCTGTGATCATTTAATCACACTGGTTAGTTACTGGTATAATGCTTCCTATGAAAGACTCAAAGTATCCTTAGATGAAGTTCAGAATTTTTGAATTATTCTAGACTATCTGTCTCTTCAGGTGACATCTTCAAAGAGTTCAAATGATGTGATATGACCAAATATAAACATTTATTATGAATTCGAACTCCATTTTCCGATGCATCTATATTTTTTGACCGCCAATCTTTAACCTAGAGATCTAGTAAATAATTTTTAAAATAACGAATAGTCATATTGCATAGATTTGAATTGTTGATTTTCTTACCTTATGATAAATTTCAATAAACGCCAAAAATCCATAAAAGCTTTAAGATTTTGAATGGCTAGAAATAAAGGTATCTTGACAACAAGATTCTAACACAATAAATAGTCGAGTGGTTATCTACGTAGTAAATATAAAGCTGCATAGAAAATATCTAGTTATTACAGTTCTGTATATTGAAGAGTCATGTCGAAAGTTTCTGTCGTAAAGCCTTATTACTTCAGCTGTTTTTGAGTTAAGATTTCGGTGCCGGTCAGCGGGTTTCATAACATATGGGCCAGTTATTTTTTATAGGGCATTTATTCTTTCATGTTATTTAAAGTCTTTGATTCAAACAATAACCAAACTGTGGAGTAATAATGAATTCACTCTGTTTCGTTAGTATATGTAGCAACATTTGTGCATCATTCCTTTCGTTACCTAATACATTTATTCACTACAAATAGAGTCGTGGATTTAAAAAAGCTTTTTCGTAGCATTTTAACAACTGCAAGTCGTCTCTTTTTTCCATCAGCATAGATATATAATTCATAAACATATTCTTGCTAAATGTGTGTCATGTCAGTTATCATTCGGTAAAGACTGTAAGCTAAATAGACTTATTTTATGAGAGACAAAAAACTAGGTCGTTCTGGTTTGTATAAACATAAAAGTGTTATTTGTAATGCTCATTCTGAAGAAACCTTACTGATTCTGATGTGCAGTTAGTAACGTGAGATATGTAGTGTCTTAGCACTGTATGATGGTTTTGTTGGTAATTAAAAGTGGAATAATGGGAAAAGCTGTTAAAATACAGGATTAATTGACGGGCATTGACGACCTTTCAGTCTGAAGTATAACATAGCTCCCGTCTTATCAGTATCTCTGTGTAGTTTAGCAGGATGCAGACTACCTGGTTGGGGTCTGCGTGACTATTGTAACCAATGGCTGGAGACTCTTGGTGACATGGCTCAGAATCGATCGACTGACTGAGTTTATCAGAATATGTCGTTTGCCGTATTCCGAATCAGGTAGTATCTTACATATCTGTCTTGAATGTCTTTAACTCTTCATCTCCTATACCATACTCACAGAACAGGTTCTTATTACAACGAAAAGGTCCTAATGTTAGGATTGTGGATCATAAGTTTGTCAGGTTTTACTCATTACAAATAAAATCGGTGCCGTTAGTGTAAATCAGTCCCGTACAAAAATGATCACTGCATAATCATTCAGTCCAACAAACTCAGGACTGAAATTAGTAGTGTGTTAACTAATCTATCCGCAAATTATCCCGGTTTACTTGGAACATTTCATACCAATCAGATGGCATCACTGATTAACATATTTACTCAACACTATCATGTGCAATTCAGTGACAAAGCGGAAAACTTCGTAGACACGTTCACGCTCTTTATTTTTAAATTACCAAATAAAGGAACATTGACAACTCTCCAAAGCTTGTTTGAGTATCACACTACTATTAATGATGCGATACCGTATAATATTTTACCAGCAGAGATTCTTATAAGTTAAAGATGTTGGGGACGATAGATCCCCAAGACTCCTCCCCTTTTTAATAGCGTACTTTCCTGGGGTCGACTTGCATCTTGACCGTCGCTCGCCGCTGTCGGGGAGGCCACCTTCTGGAACGGAGATCAGCTTGTTGTTGAGCTTCTTCTCGTGGTGGGGCTGCTGGTAAGTTGAAGGTATCAAGCAGGATGTCAATAGGAAGATTTACTCCTGTTGATGGGCGGTCTGGGGTTATTCGCTTCCGTAGTTGGATTTCGGTGTCTAGTCTACATGTCTCTTCCCACCTTTACCTCGTACATAACTTGGCCTAATCTTCCAACCACACTTGCTTCGATCAAAGGACCATGATTTGCTCTGTAGTCTTGAGTCAACACCGGGCATCCCACCTCGTACGCTGGCAGCTTCTGAGTTGGTGGTGGTGTGGTTCTTGGGCACATCTGACTGTGGATCGTCCTTAGTTTCCTTCCCATAGGGATCTCTGCCGGGGACTTCTGCTGTGGTAGCATATCACTAGGTGATGTTCGGTAAACAAACAAGAAATTCTGAAATGTTTCTACTGGTGTCCCCTCCCCTTTCAACTACATTAGAGCTCTCTTGAATGTATCCACAAATCTTTCTGCTTGGTTGTTTGATTGTGGGTGGTAATCCATTGGGGTTTCCTCGCGTGGGTTCGAATCCCATCCCCGTCGCCAAATTTGCTAGGTTTGAAGCTATCACGAGTTCACTTAATCTGCGAACGAGCAACAAGACTCGGTGACCAAAGACCAGTAAGCTAGCTATTGATGCGTCCCAGCCCTGTTATCTAGAGGGGGGAGTCCAAGCTTGGAATGGAAGTATATTCTGCAACAAACAGAAAACGGGCGATCTTAACAAACACAATTTTAGACGTATATATACAAATATATATATATATATATATATATATATATATATATCGATATTGCCATGGAGCTTTTAAACATTTAATCGACAAGTTGATCAATCGACAATGCGCGTGGGTGGTGAGAAATGCCCACGCATACATCTGCATACATACTCCACAAAGATAAAATTATAAAATATGAGTTTTGAGGATCTATCGTCCCCAACAAAAAGCGACTGAATAAACATACTCAACGAAATCTAAACTTTTCCTCAAGTGTTGGGGTGCAACTACGGGGTATTGAATAAAACTTTATGGCAAGGAAAGAGACAAACTAGAATGGGAAAGCACAGGACGCACGAACAAGAGATTTGGTATTTTTTTTAACTAAAAGCCACTGGAAAGTTTGTCATACAAAAATTATTGCCCTCTAGAATTGCTACTCATTTGATGTTTTTTCCTTAAGTGACTTTTTTCACTTCCAATCGTTATGCTGTGGCTATTTGTTTATTTTCAATAACTGTAGTCAAAGCTGTAAATGTCTTAATTTCCAAGAGTATGCTTCATAGGAATTTTTTGTCATCAGTATTTAGTGGAGGGTTTGATTCAGGCTTTATGTAAATGTGAATGTTTATATAGACTTATATAGCTTATAGGTTTTATCAAACGGTCTCAGTTAGTGGTTGTATATCGTAATTCTTTTTAGAAGCGTTATTATAATTGTAATTTATTTCTTTGTAAGGATACAAGAGATGAAGCAGCTGGGAAATTGTACAATCCAAATCAAGAAGAAATGGATGAACTTTGTAAATCTTCAACTATTTCAAATGTTAATCGGTCTTCTGGAGATAGTCAAGAAACTGTTAACTCAAATAATGGTGAAATAACCCTGCCTACTGTAAGTTGTCTCATTTTTCTCAATTTAAACTGTTGAAGGTACTCAAATCCTCTGAAAATAATATCTCACTACTTGCTGTTTTGTAGTTAACACTGATTTCGAGTTTGGTATTTCCCCTATCAAATCTCCCTACTCTGTGTACTCTTCATTTTTATCATTCTTATGCAATTTAGTTTCCATATTTGTACTCTTTATTGTCACCCTATCGGTTGAATAATAATCAATCTTCGTATGTGGGTTATTATTAAGCTTCTCTCTGTATTGTCTGGGTCTAAGTATAGGATATGGGTAGTTCTAATCATTCACAATCGTATATACTAGAAATATAAACAAGATTCATTGAACTATGTAACACTTATATACATCAGTTGAACATTTGTCAAATTAAATTGCATATTCAAGCACACTGCTGATATGATGTTTAGTCCTGGTAATTGTTTACTTTTTGTGTGTTGATGTCTGACTCCGATTGGATCGTATGAATGATTGTTGTCGAAATATATATATCCTGACTATTCTTGTATATTATTGTCGACTTAATTTGCGTTAGTGTATAGCGGAATTAAATAAGTCAAATACAAGAATGGATCTCGAATACTAATATCTTGTACACATTGATCTGGATAGACGATCAGAGGGACGAAGCGAAATGACGCGCAGTGGACAAGGTGTGTGAGCCAACTCGATTTAACCAAGCGTTCATCACACAAAAACAAGCTACAAACATGTGATGGGTGAGTTAAGAAGTGCGCACACTTACGTTCATATATAGTCAAGGTTGATAAGTGAATAATTAACATGGTCAAAACGTGACTCAAGAAGAATGGATAAATTGGCCTGTCCAGAAGCTAGAAAAAGTTATATGTGATTAACATAGTAACCACACTAAAACTTCAGTAGGTTATTTGTTACCGCATTGTATTTGAATATGAAAAGTTACAAGTTACGCACTACATTTTACAAAGATTTAATTTTAATGTCAAAACCCTATTAATGCGTGAAAACCACTTTTTTTTGTAGTTTATACCTCAATCTATGAATAGCAAATACTATACAGCAAATAGTGATCAAAATCCTGTCATTATGGCGTTAAATCAATCAACCTCTCTTTTACGAATACAAGATGATGAGTCAAGACAACTTGTCGATGAAGGTTATTGTTTAAGTCTTCATCAACCTTGGGCTTCATTATTAGTACGTGGAATCAAGTTGTAAGTCCTCATATGCATTTTTAAAGACAATTTTTGTTTTACAATTGATAAAAATGTTTAGTATTTTCTCGAAAAAAATTCATTTACATTCAAAAGCTTTGATACAATGCTATGGAGTAAGGCAGTTTGATCTTTTCATCAAAATTGTAGAATTAATTTTCATTGGACTAGTGGTTTGAGATAAGAATAATTCATCATAATTCATATCAAAATATCAGTTACTATTCTATTTTATTTACACAATAATTAAGCAGTTTGGACACCATGCTCCTGTTTGTGTAACGTTGTGTGTTAGTTATGGTGTGGTGTGTGCTATTGTCGACAGATATAAGTAGTATGTATCACCAATCGAAATTGAAATGCCTGGTTGTAGAAGGTTAAAAAGATCAATGAGAAGAGAAGGAGAACAGATAGTGATTGGTGTAAAAACGAGGAACAATCAAAACTTAGACAATTGATTTACATTGTGCGGGTGAAGTATTTACTGTATGGTTCTCAAATTTTACCAAGATATTCGGTAATTTTGAATCCAATACATTTGGTTGTCTCCATTAGTGTTCTCGTTCACTACGATAGCATCAAGCAAGTTGGTTGAATTCTCGATAGATCCACCTAGTGAATGGTTGTAAATCATGTAGATTTGATTGATGAGTCATATCTATCACTTCTTTATTCGTTTTTTTCTCTTTTCAATTTAAACCTTTGTAATATTCACCATATTTTATTTCATATCTATTTATATATTTATCAAATAGTAGGAACATGCTTTTGGTAAATTATGAGGTCAATTCATCCATTAATTATTCAAAGATTTTGTGACTCATTAAAAATAATTTATTTAAATATATACATGTCTGTTAAATTCCTCTATGTGTTATTTGCTTTAACAGGGAAGAAGGTAGAACATGGTATACTCCGTATCGTGGATGTCTGTGGATAGCATCGACAGCACATAAAACTGATCCACAGGAAATCACTGAAATCGAGAATAAATATTTGAAGGCTGGTAATATTTTACATCTTTTTGTTGTGTATGCAGTGCAAAATATTCAATTACTGAAACTTAAAATACTTTCTAAAGATGATATTATAGTATTCATTACATTCATATTTATTCTATATCAGGGATACAGGTTTAGTTTTATAAATGGCTATCAATATAAGTACATAGTGTGTTGTTCTGATGGCAATTTTAAGTTGTATTTCACTGTTCAGACTAATTTTCTTCATGTAACAAATTTTAAATCTTTACTTCGTAATATTTCAATACCTTTTCTATTTCCCACTCATCTGTCATACGTGCATGTTCACTAAGTATTATTAATAGAGCACTAATTCTCAATCTTACTAAGTTAGGGATGTAATAATGTAAATATATATATATATATATATATATATATATATATATATATATATATATATATAAGTTTCCTGTGGGTTAGTCTTTCTATTTGTAGATTATACTTAATTATTTTTGCATACCAGAATTCCGCATTGTACCAAACATATAACGTTAAATCAACTTATTATTATTATTACATAGCAGTCAGCAGTAAAAGATCATTACTGTGAGCATAGCTGTGAAGAATATCGATTATCTCGATCATTAAATGAAGATTTGTGAGTATAAAATCGATGACAAATAAATGTATAATTCAACTCTGATTACTTTTAATCATAACAAAAGTAAGATTGTTCTATATTATTTCACCGATAGGTATGAAAAAGATAACTAACCCGTACGTAGAAGTGAAACTTTCTCAACTACAGCACAATAAACGTTCTAACAGAGAAGCAGAAAAGACATTATATAACTTCAAAAAAGACAGATGTAATTACACTACGATTATCTGAATACATACCCAGTGAGAAGAACTAACTTTTCCAAGTTGAAACCAGTTTTATTTATAAAAGGAACAAATGCACTGTTTGATACATACAAGTTTGTTTATATTAATATCATGTCACTCAGATTACTTACTTAAGCCTGTTACCCCTCGTAGAGGTCAGTTACCAGCACTCTCCATTCAACTCTGTCCTGGGCAATCCTTTCCAGTTTCCACTCATTCTATTCATGTCTGCTGCCGATTCTCGGTGCAGTGTGTACTTTGGTTTTCCTCTTCCGACTTTCCCTTCAAGATTCTAAGATAGTGCTTGCTTCGTGATGCAGTTTGATGATTTCCTCAAGTGCGTCCTATCCACTTCCAGTGTTTCTTCCTAATTTCCTCTCCATATGCAAGCTGGCTTGTTATCTCCCATGATAGGCTGTTGCCTATAGTATCTAGCCAACGGACATTGAGTATCTTGCGTAGAAAATTGATTATAAACACTTGTACCTTTTTGTTGGTGGTTGTAATAGTTCTCGAAGTTTCAGCTCCGTACAATAGAAATGTCTTGACGTTCGTATTGAGGATTCTGAATTTGATGTTGGCTTGCAGACAATTGTCTTGAGTTTGATTCATCTTTCAACTGTAGGAATGTTGTCCTTGCTTTGTCAATCCTCGCCTTTACATCTGCATCCGATCCTCCTTGTTCACCGATGATGCAGTTCAGGTACGTGAAAGATTCCATCTGTTCCAGAGCTTCTCCACCAAGTGTGGTTGAGTTGGTGTTCTCCATGTTGCATTTGAGGATCTTGGTTTTTTCCTTGTGAATGTAGAGGCCTACTAACCGTCAGGGCCAGGTCGTCTGCGCAGTCCAAATCGTCTAGTTGATTGTAAGCTGTTCATTGTATTCCGTGCTTCTCGTCAGACGTAGAGGTCTTCATAATTGATAAGTCTTGTAATTTGAACGCTATACTCGGTTCCTAAGCTATTCTTGTAACCCCCAAGCTAGAACTATACAGCGACCTGAACACGAGAGAGAAGGCGCAAAGTATGCGAAAAGTACTTTACTCCAAAGTTCATTTTTATACAGAAAGTATAGGGTTTTTATAATATTTTAAATGTCCTTGAGTTGCTCGAAGATTGTGGAACGCTACTAAACATAGTAGCAGTATAACAATCAGCCAATCAGAACCTCTGCATGTGACGTTTCACTTCCTTGGTGTTTCTGGCTAAAACTTCAAGTGAACGCTGATTGGATGAAATGCTTCTTAGTGTTTTCTGATCCTTGTTTGTCTTTTGTGAGAAATTTTCTGGATCACCACAACAATAATCCAGTCAACTACCAGAAGAAAGAGAAAGGGGAAGAGTATGAAGCTTTTTCTGACACCGGTTCTTATCTGAAATACGTCTGTGGGCTTTTCCTGGTGCCGATGGTAGTGTGATGTCTCTGTAGTTCTCACATTTACTCAAATCTACCTTCTTCGGTAACTTGATGAGATATCCTTCTTTCTAGGTTGTTCGTGACACTTGCTTCTCCTCAAAAATTTTGCTGGATAGAACGTAGCGCATGTTTGTAGTTTTCTTCTGTGTGTGACTTTAGTGCTTCAACTGGTATATTGTCAGGTCCTGCTGCCTTCCCACTCTTGATTTGTCTGATGACCGGCCATCCTGCATTCTTCCATCGTTAGAGTGACTGCTATGGGAAGATCTGTATGCTCTGCTTCCATGTCCGGTGTATTCAATAGAGCTGGTCTATTCAGGAGTTCCTGAAATTGTTCCACCCATCCGCTATCCTTGAACTTCAGTGAATGCTTTGCCTTCTTTGTCCTTGATCGGTCTCTCTGGTTCACTATATTTCCCTGCCAATTTCTTCGTCATGTCATATAGTTGTCTCAGACTTCATTCTATTGCAGCTTTCTTCACTGTAGTCGCTGGGTCTCCCACATATTTCTACTTGTCAGCTCTAATGTTCTTCTCCACTAGCTTGTTTAATTCTGTGTATTTGTAGTGGCATTTGGCCACAACCACACAATCCTCAAAGCTGAACACGAGACAATTAGGAAAATAGATACTTCATATTTAACGCGGAGAAAAACCCAATGGAGAAGACGGGAACAATGAATTGAATTAATTCGCGTTGATCGGATGGTATGGTTCGGCCTTGCAGGCGTGGTTCCTGCTGAATGTTACCTTATATCTTTTATTCATATTAAATATATTGTTCTATCTCTAGCCTAAGCTTGTTCTCCATCATGTATTGGTGATTGTTACTATGCAATGAGTTGGTGTAGACGATGATGTGACTTCCACGTAAGACATTATAGATTAGGCAGTTATTTCATGACAAACCTAAAATTTTGGGATTAGGTCTATTATTATTAGGACAGTACTAATATCATAGTAGACCATAATTCTACATATTCACCTTGTGCCTTGACTTTCTCTGCTTTAGTTCGACTGTTGTTAGTTGCTGTCTTTTTGTTTCCTTCTTAAATCTTGTCCAAGGTTTCAGTAGAGTTCCGTTCCTTATGTTGATGCTTGTTGCGGCAAAGCAGCTAACACGTTGAAGTTAGTGCTTCTTTGATCCCTTCCCAGTTGTCCTCCATCGTAGTTTCTTCTTCTTTCAGTAGATCCTGTAAGGTTTGGAACCTGTTGTTAGGAGTTATCTTGAATTGATTGACTTTGTCCGTATCTCGAAGGAAGGCTGTATTGAACATTTCTAATGCTTCTTCAGCTTCAGTTTCATCTTGGCCACAACCAGGAGGTGATCTGAATCTATGTCAGCTCCTCTCTTGATTCTCACGTTTTCCACTGAACTTTTAAACCATTTAGTAATGCAAATATGATCTATCTGGTTCTCCGTGATGTGATCTAGTAAGACCCATGTAACTTTGTGTATGCGTTTGTGTGAGATTATTGTTCCACCTATAACCAATTTGTTGAATACACATTAATTTGCAAATCTGTCACCATTCTCGTTCGTTTCTCGCAATCAGTCCATGTCGTTCCGGGATATCTCCATATCCGGTGTTGCCTATTCCGACTTTGGCGTTTAGGTCTGCCATCAGAATTGTCAGGTCCTTTCCTGGGTACTTCACTATGATCGATTGCAGCCTCTCATAGAACTGATCTTTATCGTCGTCGTTGCTATCATTGGTGTGTGCATAACTTTGGATAACGTTCATTGTGATTCCCTCATCCTTTGTTTTGAATGGTGCTTTGATGATTCTGGATCCATGAGATCCCTGTTTTATAAGTGCATTTTCCTGGTATTAGAAGAGGTATAGGCTTCTTAATTTCCGAAAAATATGGGCTTCCTCGGTGAGGCATATTTCTTCTGAATGAAGACCCTTGAACTCGGAGGGCAGAGTTTAAATTGTCTTTTCTGATTAGCGTTTGTTAGTCCAAGCCATGCAATCCGCACTTAATCAGTTGGCAATCAATGTCCGTAGGTATGGTATCGCCCCCAAATGCCCTGGTACGGCTGAGCGTGGGGAGAGTCCGCTCTCCCTCTCGAAATGCTCTCACATGGCCACGCGTATATAGCCTCTACCAGGGAAGTCCTACTCACTGCCTTCTCGTGGCGGGGGTGTTGTCTACGAAAATGAGAGGACGAAAAGCGAATGTCCGGCGCTATAACCGGATCCCAAACCAATGGTGCACATGAGCTCCAGTATCCTGAGGGAACAAATGGCGTATGAATCAATCGTTGGTCACCAGCTATCATGGGACTGCATCTCCTCACGATGCTCCACTGCATTGTGGGTTAGACGTTCAGGTCGAAGGCTCGGGGTGTGGCCCCATGGGAAAACAACCTGCTTCGGTTTGGGCACCCGGTCAGTATCACAGCTTTCACACAAATCAAATGAGATTCGTGTGGCGCATATGTACTTGGTGCCTCCTTGTACCTATACCTATGTGTTAAAATAAATAAAGGTATGGTATGAGTTTCGCACTTCGAAGTGCAAAGTTATTCTACAAGACTGGCAGGATTCTAATCCTGTACTCACCCTGGGTGGTTAGCAGATAGAAGTAGTCGAGAAGTTCGTGCATTTAGGTAGCTGCATAAGTGCTGGTGGTGGCGTGAGTGATGAGATCAATGCACGTATAGTGAAAGCCAGAGCGGCTTATGCCAATCTGAGCCACCTTTGGCGCCTTCGTGATGTTAGTCTGGCTGTAAAAGGTCGGATCTACAACGCATCGGTAAGAGCAGTTTTGCTCTATGCTTGTGAAACCTGGCCTCTCCGAGTTGAGGATGTTAGACGACTCTCTGTGTTCGATCATCGCTGTCTCCGAAGGATTGCTGACATCTAGTGGCAACACCATGATAGTAATGCAGAGGTTCGGCATGGTGTCGTGGTATGAGAGAAAGCTGCAAAGGGCTGTCTTGTGTTGGACCTTCACGACTCCCTGGCTGGGGTCCGAGAGATGGTGTAACACAGTGGCTAGAAACGTTATCAGATATGGCTCAGAATAGAAGCCAGTGGTGATCCTGCTGTAACCTTCTTTTACTTTCTTCATAAAATGTGGTTGTAACTTCTTTAAGTGAAGGAGTTCTTTCTGGTTGTACCTTTCCGTTTCCATCACTATTATTACTATTATTATAACGCTACCATACACTAATCTGTTGTCGTTATTGTTCTCCTTTTTTTCTTTTCTCTCTTATACGTACCTTACATTCTTTTTCTCTCCCCATTCTCATTATGTGCCGCATATATATTTGGTGCCCCCTTGTTCCAATATTTATGTGTTCAAATAGATAAATAATAAATGATTAGTCCTCCTGGTCTTCCACATTGTCCAGACAGTCCATGCACCTATAAAAATTGTTGCTCTGGTTATTAGAAGAGGCATAAGCTTCTTAACTTCCGAAAAATATCGGCTTCTTCGGTGAGGCATATTTCTTCTGAATGAAGACCCTTAAACTCGGAGGGCAGAGTTTAAATTATCTTTTCTGATTAGCGTTTGTTAGCTAGATTGTTTTCTGAAGGATGGGGTTGCTAACTCTATACCCAACCCTCCTCCTTCACCCGGTCTTGGGACCGGTAGTAACCCTTGAAGAGCTACAGGCGGAGTTCCACTCATATTAGAAATTAATGTGTGTGAGATATTATTCATTTTCAGTGCTTTCAACAGTTTATGTTTTTATGACTGTATGTGTGATTATTGTAATTCCGAATAAACTAAAACTAAATGCGATAACTAGCGTTTCATTAATATGACACCTCGGTAATCAAAATATTCGAATAATTTAAAGTGAATTTAAATAATAATTAATCAAGCCTTATAAATCAGCATCATAAATGGTGATTCTTTGTTCACTCGTCTGGATTCATATGCCATTTGAATTTCTTTCGACTGGAATCATTATTCCCGTCTTCTAGCATTGTATCGAATAAATACTTATGTACAGAAATCAAACAAGTTTAAGGTTTAGTCTGATATAGAAATACGTTTTAAAAATGTCACTCACTTAAATTGATGTGTGTTCTAAAGCTTTGAATTTCTTTGTTAATGTTGACAAAAACCTGGGTGTTTCATTCAAGTTCAGCCAGTGTTGTTTTCCAAGGTGGAGATAATATCTCACTGTAAAGACACCGTTCTAAACTTATCATCACTATTCTT